GAGGGAGGGAGAGAGAAAGAGAGCTTATATTCGGTGTTTGCGTTGCGCGACACGCGCGAACAATCGACTCGATCGAAGCCAGTGGCGATCCGGGTGTTAACGAACACGCGGTATCTATTTTCGTAACTGTTGACTCAGTTCCTCCGGTACCTCAGTAAGTACCGAATTGGATATACTTACAAACTGAAATCAAACTAACATTTTCACGGTTCTTGAAATTACGAGCTTATCGAGTAGACGGTGTTATCTCGTATACCGATGCTTTTTCTCGCGCCCCCCTCCCCCTCCCCCTCCCCTCCCCGCAAACGTTTCGCACGTGAGAATCAACTGGAACTTGCCGAAGTCGCGGCGGAGGAGGGGTCGGCCATTACGGGAGACTCGAGTTATACTTAATCGTGTCAATTAAAAGCCTTTAGTGTAACATACGTTGTTTGCATCCTGTCGAATTGACGTGAGAGCGACGACTTTTGACTTACGTGACTTACCCTCCAATAGTAAGGTGCGTTTTCAAAACTGTATCGGTTTATCTGGCAAAGTGAAGTCAGATCCGAGCCATTTGCTTTCTGCGTCTTCTCGTTACACAGTAAAAAAGTCGTGTGCTGAAATGTTAAAATTTTCTTGTGTCACCAAGACTTGATTATTATTTCACAGTTAACATAAAATATACATGTTACTTATCTCGTAACATTTATATGTGTTATGCTTGTGTTACAGAATAACTTGATACTTTATGTACGTCGTTTAAAACATTGAATATCACTTTGAGTTCTTTTAACACAGCTATTTCAACAAAATCTACCGAAACATGTGATATCGACATTTCTTCAAAATCCCGTCTGCTTTTATTACATCACACTTATGGTTAAAAGAACATAAATGTAATGTGAAGTAAAGTATTAATTAATTAACGTGTATTATTTGTCAAAAAGTGACAGGCGCGATGAATGTTACTTTAACTTACAATTCACAAAAACCGAAAATATACGCGCAGACAATATCTTTATACTGTTATTGCGACAAATATTATCATATGCCACGGTGGTCGAATTGTGCCTAGAGTGCAGGGAGGTCCAGGTTCAAACCCTGGCTGAGGTAGTATTTTTCGCAATAAATTTCCTGTATTATTAAAAATGTCAGGTGTGGTCAAGAAAATACCGACGTTAAAATTTAGAGTGGACTTTTTGGGACGTGTGAAAAATGTTAACATTAGCATTTTACTTTTTACTGTGTAAAGTAGTGAAAAAAAGCGTGATAGAAGGAATCTTTGTTTAAAAAAAATAAACTGCAGCTTGAGGCGAATTCGATTACTATTTTACTATTAGAGGGTTAATAAAGCGATTCTTCCAGAAAAAAAAACTATGCCGGTATACATGGGGGACTCTTGGAAGAGACTTAAGGGGATGCTGGAGTGATTCCGCCTCCTCGGCGGAAACGCAAGATAATTCGGTCACGAAAGGGTCAGGCGAACGAATCTCCCTCCCCCTCGCTTCAGCTGCAATTTCCAAGTCGATTCGTTTCTCTCGGAAACGCGCGAGACGTTCCCTCGATACGTCACGCACAATATTTAACACAATTAAGGGCCCGAGCAGAAAGACTGCCTGCTTACGATTCCGCCGTAGGACGTAAACGGCGATTCGCGAAAGGCGAAAAATTTCGTTGACGAACAGTCAAGTTCTTCAACAAAATTGTTCACCTCTCGCTCGAGTTCACGCTAGTAGAAAAGATTCACGATCGAGCCCCCCCGAGTCTCACGACGGAATCGCAAGACGGCTACGACAATCTTTCCGCTCGAGCCCTAATTCGATAGGGATCGTCCGACGGAACGATCGCCCCCCCCCCCCCCGAGGCTCCTCGGGGGTCCGCCCTTCCCCAAGATTAGACGAGAGACCTACACCGTTGTCGCGGCGGTTTTGAATCGCCGCGTCGGCCGCACTTGTTTTGCCCGCTGTCAAATTTCACCGCGCGAGGCCGGGAGGTCGTTAACGGGGGATCGTTACGAGCGCGAGAGAGACAGAAGGAGGGGAAGAAACAACGAACTTATTACTACACGCCACTATACCAGCCTGTACGTAGTACGCTAATTCTAGCGCCGTGTTAATCAGTGTCTCGCGAATTAGGCCTAAAGTCCAAAGTCCGCCTGGGGAGGCGTGCGCGGCGCGCATATTGTAAATACATAAACGTCATTCCTCTCTCCTTCTCGTGCACGTTGCGCCTTTTATTGCGACACAAAGAAAAAAAAACAGAGAGACCTTTATCTAGAACAACCGCGATTAAACCTCAGTCCTACGATCTGCGAAAGAGTTGTAAGGAGCGAAGCGATTGCGTTGCCGACGTGAAAGGAGAAACCGTCTCGAGGTTCAGTACGGAGCGATCAGCGGCGAGAAGAACAATGTTCGATGACGTGATATCTTCCTTTCATTTTTTTTTCCATTTTCCTTCGGTACGTCTCCGAGCGAGAGGAAATCAGTCGCGAGCATCGATATAGTTTTTGTGAGAGATGGACGATTGGAAGCTGGATGAAAGAGCTTTGGATAATAAATGGGACAAACAAATACGATTTTTCTAATGACAGTGTCGTTTATTTGGCATCTCGAGTACAATCTTTCAGTTGCGTCCGCTCTTTAAAGCCTGATCCACAATGTGCTCTTTGCGTCTAGAAGCGTTCTATTTTGTAGTAAAAAAAAAAGTGTTTAAAAAATTGGCGCAAGTGGGTAAATTGTATATTATGCACCGTACAATCGTACATTGTCGACAAAGTTCTGGAACATTTCGACTTGTTTATATAAAATATAACGTTTCCAGATGCACAGAGCACATTAGGCTTAAAGCCTGAACCACTATGTGCCATGCTCTTTGCGTCTAGAAACGTTCTATTTTGTAGTAAAAAAATGTGTTTAAAAAATTTGCGCAAGTGGGTAAATTATATATTATGCACTGTACAATCGTACATTGTCGACAAATTTTTTAAGCGCTTCGACTTGTTTATATAAAATAGAACGTTTTCAGATGCACAGAACACATTAGGCTTAAAGCCTGCTCCACATTGCGCTCCAGACACATTCCATTTCACAGCCAATGAATACCTTTAAAAAATTCGTGCAAGCTGATAATGTGTAATCGTACATCATCGCTACACTTTTCATTGTTTATAGAATATTTTTAAACGCAAAGAGCGCATCGTAGATCAAGCTTTAAAAGTCAATCGGCGGCCTGAAGACAGTGAATAGTCTGATTCATTGTTTCTAGTGATAATCCACTGATTGACTTTTAGTCCGCCGGCTACTACTTCGTTTTCTCTTCCTCTTTTTTTCCCCTTTTGCGAACAACGCCAACTCGGGCGACAACGAATCGCCGGACGAAACGCTTCTAAAGGCCCGTTTCCACGATGCTAGAACTTGGTCCAAGTTCTAGTTTCGAGAAATGCGTAGCCAGGCAACTTGCAGCTATTCCACAAACTCTGCAAATTGATTGGCTACGCATTTCTCGAGATCAGAACTTGGACAAAGTTGTAGCATCACGGACACAGGCCACAAGACCCGGTTTCTCAATCTCTGGTTAACTGTTAACCAGAGGTTAGTCGACTCTCCGTCTTTTTCTCTACTATTATCTAAGAAGAGGCAGGTAATCGACTAACTTCTCGTTAATATTTGACCAGAAAATTGGAAAAACCGGGCCTAAACGTCGATTCGATTCGGTCCGAGTTTCGTCGCTTCCCCGAATTTACTTGCTCCTTGCCGGCGCCTTCGAACGTATCTTTGTTACGCGCACTCGCAGTAAGAATCGAGACTGATCGCGTCTTAAATTTACATGCGCGTCGGCGATTCGGTTTCGCATACGCGATGCCATTCGCAGGAATCTGACTTTCAAACGCGGGGCTCCGTCGCGACTGACGGGACGATTAACGTTTTAAAGCGTCGGCGAGAAACATTCGCGCGCTGTCACGTCGCTACACGTGTCTCCTCTTATCTCGCGAAACTCGCGGCGTTTTCGCCGACACGTTTAACACAAGCAGCGGCGCGGCGACGCATTTTCCTCGAGCGTGCCGCGGTGTCCCTCTCGATCCGCAAGCGGGACGGGGCCGAGTCTCACTTTTCCGCGACGACATCTCGAATCTACCCGCCTCGCGCGTCGTCAATCTCGAACGTCGCGCGATCGCACTCACACGCGGCCCCTCGTCGCAACCGGGCGCGCCGTAGCTACACCGTTTCGCGGTCTCACCGCACTCCGAGCTACTCGACGGAGCCGCGGACTCGAGAGCGCGAGGGAACCTCGCGCGACGAATCGCTCGGCGAGGAGCCGAGCCGCCGAGCCGGGGACGCGTGCGCGCACTGCAACGGTGGACGAGAGACGACACGAGACTCACTCGCGCCCGGGAGGACGTCGCGGAAGGACCCTCGCCCGCCTCCATGTTCTCGAAAAATGCCCCGCACGGCACGCGCGCGGTTGGCGACGCGGCACCCCGGGTAGAGGCGCGCGACGTCCGAGCGCACGGCTCGCCCGACTCGGAGACGCGCGAGAGTCCGCGCTCGGCGGCGGACGAGGCGCGGCGCGCGACCGTACGGCGACGACTGCGAGGCGGACGGCGGACGGGCCGACGGCGAAGGGGACCACGGCGCGCGGCGCAGCACCGCGCGGAAACGTGCGCGAGGCGAAACGACAGGTGACTAGTACGGCGAGCAGGACGGCGCGCCATGCGCGCCGTCGCCGCGGCTTCGGCCGCGCTCGGCCGCGCCCGGCGGCGCTCGGCCGCCTCCGCCGGCCGAGTGGTGGGGCGAGCAGTGTATCCGTGACGTCACATAATTAGAGTAAATACAAAGTAGTCTTGATGGGACAGCGGCGTGCGCCGCACCGTGAGTCGCTGGTCCGAGCGCGTCAAACCTATATCGCTCCGATACACGCACACCGCGTTCCCGTGGATAGTCCGTGATACATATATATATATGTATATATGTATGCATATATATATGTACATATATACATTTTATATATGTGTATGCCCGCGCGGTATGTGCCGTCAGTGTGTGTGTGCACCAAGGGATCCTAGATGACTGTGGGAATAGTGTGTGACACTCGTGCGGCAAAGAAATGGAAAAGATAGAGGTGAGAGCGCGCCCGAATGGAAGCCGGGTTATATACACGGGAGACACGAATTTCCCGTCCCGTCGCCGCCGTTAACGCCGTGCCGCAAATAAATTTCGCGCTTAACGCCTCTATCTCTCTCTCTCCCTCCCTCCCCCTCTCTCTCGCGCTCGCTCGCTCGCTCGCTCGCGTCTTTTCTTTTTTCCGTTTTTTTTCCCCTCTTTATAATCACCGCGCTCTCGCGCCCCTCCCCCGCTGCGCTCCCTCGGTTCTCCCTCGCACCCTCTCATCCCTTCCCCTCCCACATAACCGTCAGATTTACCTCGGCAAATACTCGCTCGACTGTAATGCAGAAGT